GCCGTGCTTGTTGACGATGCTCTCCTCGTTTAGGAGGCTCTCGATTTTTTCGAGCATGAGGTTCATGAGACGCTCGACCTCGTGGGGCCGCCGCTTGAAGTTGTTGATGTTGAAAGCGTAGATGGTGATGTGGCGCACGCCGAGCTGGTAGCAATACATGAGGAGGGCCATGAGGGACAGAAATCCTTCCCGATGGCCCATGCCCTCGTCAAGGCCACGTGTGCGCTCGTAACGACGGTTTCCATCAAGTATAAAGGCCATGTGATCGGGGACGGGGCCCACTGAGAGCACACGAAAAAGGAAGTTGCACATGTGGCTCACCAGTTTGACCAACAGCTTCCCCACGGCAGTGTCCAACTTGTTCTCCATCACAAATATGTTAAAAAAAACAATTTGAAAGTGAATAAAGGCAAGGATACACATCGTTCTATTATAGCGTAGGATAAAAAAAAAAAACAGAGACAAAAGGAAGTTAGTAGTTACATAAAAGAAAGAGACAAGTGGAGAAAAATGAAACTGAAAAGAGAAATGAACTATGTGTGATTAAAGAGGCCCATGCTGTTTGTGTGGGATGATTGTTAGGTGAAATATTTTATAAAATGGACAAGTTAATGGGACTGAGAGCATATTTGTTTACAAAATTATTTATTTACATTCATTTTTTTATTTTTTATTTCAGAATGATAGAATTTATAAAAAAAACACATGTACAGACTAGAAAACAACTAATCAACTGAATAACCATTCAGCCAACTGAATACGTCCGGATAACTACACAACGTGTAGTTTAGAACTATCCAAACCACATAACACAAAAATTACAAACACTCCCACAAGTAGAGAAAGAAAAGCTCCCAAACAGGAGAAGAAATAAACCAACTAAACAAAACATAAACCTAAAGCACACAGACAAAACAAAAACAACATAATACTAAACTCAAACTAACGCCCTCTGTACCAGACAGGAACTCCCAGCACCAACACAACCCAAGCAAAACATCCAAACACAAAAATCGAGAGAAAGCCACGAGGATTACAACCCAGCTCAATAAGACCTGGACCGCAAAACCGACAACCACCCCAGATCTCCGCAAATCCACCTAGGTCGGCCCACTCAAACACACCAACTATGTATTAATGCAAAATGTACTGATCATACATATCGACTTCTGGTGCTTCGTAATTCTATGTATGGAATTCTGGTACATTAGAGCTATGGATTCAATTCATACCTATTAGGATTTTTAAAAATATTTGACTAACATAAATTATAAATATATTTAATGTTAATAACGTTTGTATTTGTTATTATTTTATTTTCAATATAATATATCAAATTAATCATCTCAAGCGAGTTTATATTTGATACCTATATTTCATATGTAAATAAATAAATAATTTTATTTTCATTTGTTATAAAGTTAAATCATCTACTAATATTATTAAGAACCAATAAATTATATATCAATTAAAAAATTTACCTATAAAATTATTAGTTAGAAATATTATAAAAAATAAGGCGGACAGATAAAGTTATAATTTAGATATAAATAATAATAATGAAATTTTTAAAAATTTGTTAAAAAACTAAAATAAAATTCTCCCTTACATTTGTTTTTAAGAATTTCGGTATAATTCTTTTAATAAAATTATATATCAAATAAAAAATTTATCTACAATTTCATTACACATAAATAATAATCTAATTTCTTATAAAGTATTTTCAAATTAAAAAATAATCTATTTTACATATATATATATATATATATATATTTGAGTTTCAGTATAAATTTTTTAACTAATAATTAATATTATTTAATTATTTATATGAATACTTTGAAAAAATAAAACTTTTATATAGTATATATTTTATATAAAGTAAAATACATATGTAAAAATAATATTAAATTAAATAGAGTTATATTTATTTAACATTACCCATGCCCTGAATAAAAACCCAATAAGCTCCATCATTGGGGCCATCTCTTTTGATCAGGCCCATTTTGTATTTTCTTCCGAGGGAAAGAAGAAAGAGAGAGCTACAGCCATTAACTCTTACTTACAGAAGGGAGGTTTTTTTGCTTCGCCTTCAATTCATCACGAGCTTTCAATTAGTTCTTTTCGAGTATTTGCTTATCGGACGCATTCAATTTGCAATTAACTGAGCAAACCCTGTGAGATTCAAATGGCTGCTGATGAGAATCAAGCTACGGGTAAAATTCCACTCAATTTCATCTTCGATATAACGTGAACACGATCAATTGCCTCGTTCTTCTCCATTGACTGTGGAAAAACGTGTCTTCCTTTTTGAGTTTCTTCTCATGAGTTGTCGTGTCTGACTTAATTGCTTAATCTCATACTCTCATGTGTCTTGCTTCGATTGTTGAGTATCTACGATTTCCTTTTGTAGTTTTACTAATCTTCTGCTGTGTTGAGCTTTTGATATATAGCGGAAATGGTATTATCTTCTGTATCAAAAATTAGCATAGCAACTGTCTAATTGTTATCCTATTGAAAAACTTCCAACACACAGAGGATGATGTGAAACAAAGATGTTGGGATCAAAGGGAAGCTTTGCCCGGCGAACCTATCTGCGCCGTATGCGGCCGATACGGCGAATACATATGTGACGAGACAGATGACGATGTTTGCAGCCTCGATTGCAAAAAGACTCTTCTAACCCGGCTAGCCAAGAAATCACAGCCTTCATCCCTTAAAACACCCTCCGTAAGACTACCAGCCATAGACGAATGCTACTACGTTCGAGAAGACAACAAATCTGAATCTCGATCAATGACCGGCACTCAGGCCCACGCCCTTCGCGAAAAGCTCGAAATATCTGTACAGGGGGATAATTCCCCAGCCCCCGCTTTGTCTTTCAGTTCCTGTGACCTCCCAGAAAAGCTCGTCCAGAATCTAGAAGCTTCCGGATACGAAATCCCTACCCCTGTCCAGATGCAGGCTATCCCGTGCGCGTTGACCGGTCAGAGCGTGCTCGTGTCAGCCGAGACTGGTTCGGGCAAAACTTGCTCGTTTCTCGTCCCGATTATATCTCACTGCACGAAAACGAAAAGCGACCCGCAAAAGCCACTTGCATTGGTCCTCACACCCACTAGGGAGCTTTCAGTACAGGTGGAAGAACAAGCCAAATTGCTCGGCAAAGGCCTTCCATTTAAGACTGCCCTAGTGGTCGGGGGTGATGCCATGGCTAGACAAGTTTACCGTTTAAAAAATGGAGTGTCGATGATCGTCGGGACTCCCGGCAGGCTAGTCGACCTTCTCGCCAAACACGATTTCGATCTTGATACCGTCTCGATTCTTGTTCTCGACGAGGTGGACTGCATGATGCAGAGAGGATTTCTCGATCAGGTCATGCAGATTTTCCGAGCCTTATCCAGTCCACAAGTGCTGATGTACAGCGCAACTGTTTCAAAGGATGTGGAAAAGTTGGCGGACTCAATTGTTAAGCGTTTCGTACGCGTATCGGTTGGGAAGCCTGAAAAACCATCCGGGGCAGTCCGCCAGTTGGCGATATGGGTGGGGTCGGGCGGGAAGAAGAAGAAGGAGAAGCTTTTCGAGATTTTGACGAGCGAGAGGCACTTCGACCCGCCGGCGGTGGTTTTTGTGGGGTCGAGGCTCGGGGCAGATCTTTTGTGTGAGGCGATTAGGGTGAAAACCGGGATTAAGGCGCTCTCGATTCATGGGGAGAAGACGATGAAGGAGAGGAGGGAGGTTTTGGGGTCGTTTTTGGTAGGTGAGGTGGACGTGATTGTGGCCACGGGGGTTTTGGGGCGTGGGGTTGATCTGCTGCGCGTGAGGCAGGTGATCGTGTTTGATATGCCGAATTCGATGAGGGAGTATGTGCACCAGATAGGGAGGGCGTCTAGGATGGGAGAAAATGGGAAGGCTTATGTGTTTGTTGGTGAGGAAGATAGAAGGATTTTTCCTGAGCTGGTAGAAGTTTTGAGGTCGTCTGGGTCGGAAATTCCTCGTGAGCTTGCAAATTTGAAGTGTCGAGTGGGTTCTTTGTCTGGGGGCAAGGGTCATAAGAAAAGAAAGCATTGCCATTGAAGGTAGTTGGTT